AGGCTTTTCGTTTGGTAGCGTTATAACTGGCTTTAGATAAATTTTGCAGATAAGCAAGTGACTGCTAAAGGTATTGGACAATAGAAAAGTCAGCCTGGATGGGTGGCTTCCCCATTAAGTCTAACTGCTCTCTTGGTGGGAGTTTACTGGAGCTGAATTTTCTGTATTGAAGTTCAGTTTTTTGTTTGTTTTATGGATATGACAGACGTTTAGATGCTTTTTTCTAACTCATGTTTAACTTCAATGTGTAACTATAGTTTTTTCGCATCATTTTTTGACGAGATGTGTCAGATTGTATGTTTTGTTTCATCCTGTTCTTTTTGTATAAGGTGATGAAGTTCAATGTGTTTTTATTTAGGTATGCCTTTGGCCTTTGAATATATATTCCGCAAATAAAATCCCATTTTAAGTCCCCAGCAAAAGAAACGTGAGGATTTAACATTTAGTTTTCATTATTTCATACCTTACTCAAAATGCATTGTAGCTATTGGCTATTGCTGATTTGCACTGCAGTAGAGGTCAAGGCGTGAACAAACAATTCAGTGGCAGAATTTCTCATCGTTTATCTGAGAGAGGTAGGTAGTTGCTCCATGTTAAGGTTGAGCATACTCCTGAAACGTAGAGGAAAGGTAACTTTATAGTAGTTCTGTCTTGCAAAGAAATCACTTCCTTCAAGCCAGTGGGTCTGCAGCTGTGACTGCAGAGGAATGCTTCGATAGGGTCACGTACTGTAGCTCTGAACCTAAATAAAAGAGTTAGCAAGAGTTCACTTGGAGAGGAAACTTCTTAATTTCACCATAGTAAGTATGAGAATCTGTAGAGAAAAACAATAACGCTTTGCTATTTAAATTATTAAAAAAACCCATTAATTCCTGCCCTCCCCCATTCCCTTTTTATTGTACTTTTGGAACAGTAACTGGGGATAGGATTGAGCTAGTTCATGGTGTAGGTCTTTAGTTCCTGGTCTACAGATCAGACTTTTCTTAAAAAAGTCAAATCCTTGACTTATTCACAGTAGTAGAGATGATGTTTGTGAGGAAAACAGAATGTTTCTTGGCAGGTTTCATTGTTTCAGGTGGCCTTCGTGTAGCTGGTTGTGATTGACAGAGCCTGGCACCTCGCTCGTATGTCCAGAGGCTCCAGAAGAGCGTGTGTGTGTTTGGCAACTTGTGTAAGCTATTTTTAATAAATCCTGTGGAAGTGGAAGATTTCAGTGGTGACTCTTCAGCTGGGTACCCAAACACTATCCTCTCATCTCCAAGTTGCTCCTCTTGCTGGGAATGGGTGACAGGGCAGAGGGGCTGCTGGCAGGGGGCTTCCTCACTCAAAAATATTTTCTGTTGGCTGCTGAGGGGTGGGACATGGCTTCCTCCTGCTTGAGCAGTGAGAAGGGACCACCCATTACTGAGGTGGAGTCTGATCCTTCAGAGCACCCCTGTCTCAGTGGAGACATAGTGAGGAGAGGATGGAGGGGGTTTGGTCATGGCAATCTTGTCTTTCCCTTGTGCTTTGGGGTAGCTAGCTTTGGGCAGCGCCATTATCTGAGCAGTCAAAACAATACTTGTATCCATTTCCCTGGGAAGAGAAACAAGGCACTGAAAATCGACTAAGGTGATTACATTGCTTGGTCTGAGAAATCAAACAGTCATCTGATTCTAAAAGTTAAAGCTCTGTATTTGTTTTGTCCCTTGCTCCACCTATACTGTGGATGTGGCCAGTGAATCCTGGTTGGCAGCTTGGTGACCCTCTCAAACCCCTGGCCAGAAAGTGCTCCAGGTTGCCTATCCGGAGCTCTGGGTGTTGAAACTGAGGGAAAAGGAGCCTGTGCATGTACAGGTCTCCCCATAGGGCAGGGGATGCTGCTTAAGTACATGCTCAGTGCCAAGAACTGGGAAGCGTTTTGGATTCTGTAGTATGCTTTTCCTGTTTCTTATTTCTCCCTTCAAATACTTTCCCCTTTGAGGCATGTTTATATGTCTAATTCCAGTATATAGTCACAAAAAATATAACTTGTAAAGGTATTTCTCAATATTTCTTTCATCAAAGGACCACCCTTTATTATTTTTTAGAGGCGGCTAAAAATCCATGGACAATCTATCTTTCAACAGTGGTTTTCATTTACAATCAAATGAGTATCATACTAAACTGTGAATGTTCGTCTACTCCTTTTATTTCTCTCCTGTTTCCTTGCTTGAATGCATGGGAATGTGGTTTCAGTTTTTGTTCTCATGATTATTTTGCAGACCACCTTCTGATGCTGTAGGGACCACCAACGGTCCATAAAGACAGTTGAGGAGCCATGATCTATATAGCATACCGTATGACCTTTTGTTTTTTGTTATACTCTTGCTGCAAAACTGTTTGAGCCAAACGTTTATGATGGTCTTTTGTCAAATATTTACCGTGGCTTTAATTAGTCACAAATTACAGGGACATCCTAAAGGTAGAAACTAGTTGCGTTCAGAAAAAATAAGCATATTCCTTTATATTGACTTCATTTTGTCACTGGATGGCATGGTTTTGTTGCTCTGTATTCAGGTAAACAGCCTGTGGTTTAGAAATGCTCTCTTTCTTACATTCTTCAGTGTCTTCAGTGAAAGAGGTCATCCCATGAAAATTAAAGAGAATCTGCTGAAGAAAATTTGATTTTTCTAAGCACGTTTAGTGGAATCAAACTGTATGGTATTTCTGAGCATAAATTGGCTTCATTTTAGTCTGACTGAATTTCAAAAGCTTGGTATGTTACAAGGTCAGAATTTTAGACCAAAACTGGTTTAGATAATGGTAAAACTATCTTTTTTTTTAATGATCTGTGTTGAGTCTTTCACTGTTGCATTGACCAGTTCACGCTAGCAGGATTTAAACGTGGACAGGGAATTGTAATTTGGGATTTGGGGTTTTGTGTGTGTGTTTTAATCGGGAAAAGCCACTTAATCGCATGAATTCACACCAGGTTTTTCAGTTGTCTTCTGGATAAAATTCATTTATTTTACTAGTAAAAATCTATTCTATTTTTTTTTTTTTAAATAAAAATCCTGCGAAGTCAGTCTGTGCTTTGAAAGTCAAGCTGGGTTCATTCTATTTTACATCTCATCAATCACGGAGTCCCAACCGACCATATTATACTCTAAGTTATACCTGGGTAACAACTCTGTCCTGAAATCATGCTTTCTATTACATCTGGGCTGTGCGGGTGTAATGGAAAGTATGCCTTAGCCAGGACAGTCTTTTGCTGCTGCAGATAATATGAGAGTGGAGGGGGCACTGCTTGATGTGTGTAGGGTTTTTTTTTTTTTTCCTTTTTTTAGAGCTTGGTTTGAGAGCTAATGAATAGTAGGGGTTTTTGTTTGTATTCTTCTCTTTTTTGTAAGAGAGGAGTCAGTGATGAAATAAGAATGTCCCCTGATCATATTAGCTTTCAAGTTATCTCTTAATACAGAATTGCACTTTAAAGCCTTTACCGTCTGGTATGTGGTGAGATTCTGTAAACTATGTTAAGATAATTATATAAAATATTAGTGATGTGAAAGGATGCAAATTAAAGAAAAAGATTGCAAATCTATTTTTTCTTGCATAAGTTAAAGGAACTTCTAATTTTTATGAAAGCTTTCAAGTGTGTATGTTAGTATCAGATAAGCCATTATACATGCTGTAGAAGGTGAGACAAGCATCTGCATGTGGATTCTGTAAGCTTGTTTCATAACAACAATGAAAGGTAATTGAAAGCTATTGTAGCCCCATCCCATAGGCTTAATAGCGAATGATGTTTTGCTAGCCTATTTATTTGAATAGACAGCTGAGCTATCCATGAGAAGTAACTGCATCAAGGCAGCAGAAACCAGAATGTTCCCCTGTGTGTTACAGATTGCTGGGAAATTGGGTAGGACCTCTTGAGAGATTGTATCTTGCGCTTCAGATGAAGATAATTTTATGACATACATAAGGGGGGAAATGTGTGTGATATAGGTGTTACTTACAATAAAGCGTGTTGCTCCTCATGCAATGAGAACCATAAGCATGTCATTATGCCTTTGAAAGAAGTACCTTTTCTGTGCCCTAGAAAGCATGGTTTGTCCGTAAAAGGCTATGGTGTTACGCTAGCAAACATGGAAGTCAATGGCAGGGTATGAAATCTGGAAGGTTAATTTGCTAACTGACTGCATAGTTACTCTTATTAATCAGGGAGATGCCTGCGACTTTAGCATTGCATGTTTCTTCCAATTTAATATTTGATTTAGAAAGAGGAAAGTTTGCGGAGGTATGCTATAATTAATTTAATTAAGTTGCAGAAACTTTTGTTGCTATATTTTAGCACTATTAGCCAAAACACAACTCTGAAGAATGCTGTGTCCAGAATTTTAACTGTGTCTAGAATTTTAAAGTATTCTTTACACAAGGATGTTTTAGGAATATAGAGCTTTCCAAGTGAAATAAAAAATAAAGGAAAAACTTTGAGAAAAGACATATGTTTCACATTTAGCACAGGTCATTCTTTCTGTAAAATATAACCATAATTTGGAACCTCTATTATTTCTTTTCCTGTGAGAACTGAAAAACTTCTCTTTCTGTATACAGTGTGAATTAATATTAACAAGTGAATATATATATATATATATATATATATGTGAAAACAGCATAGTTGCCAAATCATTAAACCAACTAGGGATGACCGCTTCTACTTTGATATAGATATTTTTATATATAATGTTGATTTCCAACTATATTATTGTTTGTAAATGCATTTCTTGGGGATTTGATGTTCTCTCAAAGATGAATGTATTACAGTTTTGTTTGAATCCATGAGGAAAAAGTCTAAATAAGAATAGATAGATTTAAAAAAAAAAGTCTTTGAATAACAAATCCTTAAAGCTTCAGTATGAGATTGAGCCCTAAAGTGTTACTGATCTACTTAAGCATACAGGTTGTACTGCTGTGGGATTTAGTGACTTTTTTGCATAGTTTATCATGCTTATATTTCTTTTTAAATGTCTAGGAATTTGCCGGATTTTTTTTTTTTTTGATATGTGATTGCTGAAGCATTTTCGCAGGACGACAGTAATGACTGCTGAACACCCTTCAGGTAAGAAATCAGATCTATGTCAGTCAGTATGGTTGTTCATTAACTTTCCTCGCATTGTTTTGGTTAATTTCCAGTAGTAGTGGTCTTCGATGTTACAGCATCAAAGTTCACTGAATTTAAAATTTAAATAATCTCCTGTCTACATGAATGTTTACGTCTGTGTCTCTAAATAATCATTGAAACAAGTTTTGGGTTGGTTATGTGTGTGTTGTGTGTTTGTGTGTGTGTGTGTCTCTCTCTCTCTCTCTCTCTCTCTCTCTCGAGATTTGGTAGCTCTAACACCAGATTACATAACATGTTAAATTTGCATTTGATAATCAAAAGATTTATAAAATATGATCTGCCATTTCTAATTTTTCCATCAACTCACCGGCGGCAGCAGAAATTAGTACCCTCTAAGGTATACTGGATTAGTACATCTATTCTGAAAGATTTTTGCTTCTCTTAACCTCATTTTGCCTGCTAAACGACTTATTTGATTTTCCCCTTATTAAACTCCTTACCAGCAGATACTTTGGTAGTAATGTCCTTTCATCAAGTGAAAAACAGAAGTTTTGTGTGTGCATTTGTAGCTGGTGGACTACCCAGCTGGGGAGATGTTTGACCCTTCAGTGAATTCCCTTCTTCTTTCCCTTGTGATTTGATTTCATTCATTTTACACTTGGATCTCTAGTGGTTAAGACTAGTCTCATGCAGATTTCTGCAGCTTCCGCATGTGTCCCTGTTTCTCAGATGGAGACCTCATAACATTTATTCTTCTAAATGAATCCACTTCTGTAAAAGATCTGTTTCCACAAAGCTCCCACGAACGAGTTGTAAATGTAATAAAAAGAGAATGTGTGCCAACACTGTTTCTTCATACAGAGCAGCAAACTCTTTTCCTCAGATTTGTCATGTGCATGGGTTATCTGATGTTGATAATTACATATCACTGAAGATCTTACAGTTTATCCTACATAATAGCAATTGTTTAGAATGCTGGGAACAAAAGAACTGGCTGCTTGTCCTTACCCTCGCCACTGTATAAAACTTATAATTTCCTCTATTTTTTTTTGAATTTTGTTTCATATTAGCAGTTATGACTCCAGGCCTGAATATGAGGACAATTTAGCTTTTCTCGAGTGGTTTAAGTAACTTGTCTTTTCAGCTTGTACCAATCCAGGTTATAGTTGCCAAATTGTTGATACCTTAGCGAGTTAACCCAAGTTCTTTAAAACCTACCCAAACTCAAGAAAAGTAAGGTTGGTCTTGATTCAGTTCTTGATCTATCACAAGCTTCCTGGGTGACTATGGAGAAGTTCTTTAACCCCTATATGAGTGGGAGGTAAGTGCCTACATACCAACGTGCTTATGTATTTGATTAAAAAATAGTAGGGGTGTAATGTGTCCAGAGTACTTTCTTCAACTCTGAGATCCTCAGGAGTGCACTGAGCTTTCTGTGCCCATGCAGATCACCTTGTTGTGCTGGTAAGGTAGAGCTGCTGGGCAGCTGTTGTTTAGAATTGAAATAGGTTTCTGCCAAAGGTATGTTTCAACTAAAAGCAATAGGCTTGGACTGGTTTATAGGGGCTGATGTTCTCAGTACATAAACGGCCTTTAGTATCTCTGGGCTTCCAATCATCCTCTTTTATAGAACTTTGTAGAAGTATTGTGAAGATAAATAAGTTAGATTTCATTGTGTTCAAGTGGGAGCCAGACATGTATCTAATAGACGTGTGTCTTAAAGAGATGCCTCAAGACAAGAGCAGAAAACCTACAAACTGAGCCCAGCGTGTGCTGTATTCTGCAACTTGCAGGTCATAAGAACATAAACGTAGTGAATGCATCAAAACATCAATGTTGAATGAGACCAAGGGGCAGGGTAAAGCCTAGTCCTTTAGGAAGGTGTAGTAAAATCCAGTCTCAGTGTGACTGATAGCTGATGCCTGGAGCAGAGAGCGGAGCAAGCAAGCACATTGTTGCTTGCTGCCCCAACCACTCGTGATCTGTGCATGAGGAACCTCTGAGCCAGTGGTGGCCCTCTGGTATATAGTAGTCTCGGGTGTACTTTTCCTTCTGCAAAGGTGTCGAGTTACCTTTTGAATGTATATGAATTTTTAGCCTCTGTAATGTGCAGAATTTCCCAAGGGAATAATGTACGAGGCAAGGAAAGAGGGGTTCTCTGGGGTTCACTTTGAACCGCCCACTTGCTAATCTCATTTAATAATCTGGTGACTAGGACCAAGCACAGGAAGAGTCAGGAGCTGCACAGTGTCCTTTCTGCTCCAGTGGGATGGTGGAAAAGGGTGAGAGGTGCTAAGCTTTACAGAAGGAGTCTTTTCAGATAGCTAGGCTATAACCTCTCTGAAATGAAATGAAAGTGGAGGGCGTCTTTGCCTCTTTAATTGCTTCATAATGCATAGGCTCAGGGTAGCTGCAGAGCAGTAATGTCTGCATTGTCTGCTTGTCTGCTTTTCTTTTGCCTTTTCTGGGGGGTAATTAACCACTTTTTTTGGTGGGGAGAACAGTAATTTGGGGGTTGTGTAGCCTTTATATTCTATTCCTCCTTCACTTCCAGAAAAGAAAAAGAGGGTGCTCTGTTTCATAGACCGTGATGCAGTAGTCTTAGCAATTTTTTTCCTGACAGAATTCAAGATTGTGTGGAAGAAACTATCATAAGGTAAAATATGATGGGGATATATACTCAATGGATTGAGCCTCCCAGCAATATATTAAAGCATATTAGAATTAATATGCTTTAATCAGAATTGAACCCTCCCTTACCTGTCTTGTTGTGCCTTTTTTTTCTTCCATTTTAAAGCACTGCTTTCAGGTTCACAGAAAATTTAGGTGGATTAAAAAGAATTACCTGGACAATGTGTTTGCTGCAAAATTATTGTAATGAGGACCTGACTGCTCATATTCCAACTAATATATGTCAAAGATTTGTAAGGAGGTATGAATACTGCATAGATCTACCTGACTAGGTTATATGGTATGTCACAAAAATGTACTGTGCAATATATGTAATATTAACTATTGCAGTAGGATTGCTGAATCGGAAAAGGTTATGGTTATGCAGAAGGTGAGCCTCTTTGAAAAGGTAAAATTTGAACTGAATGTGTTAAGTTTAGAATACAAAATACTTCAGTTTTAACAGTAAAGGTTTTTAAAATTCTGGAAAAATGAGCAAAACTAAATCCTTATCTAAAACCTGAAAGGCAGTCAGAAGAGAATGATTTAGAATTGCTATGATTTTGCTGTTGGCAGAAGATAGTTGGAAGACAGAATTCATGCAGCTGGGTAAAAGTTGGGTTTGTTTATTTTTGTTTTACCCATTTGGTTTCTCTCAGCTGTAGTGGAGGTGTTGAGTTTATCTGATCCTGATTTCAGAGCTAACTTCATGTTCTATAGGTATTTCCATTCCATCTGCCCTCATTTCCCTTTCTGTGCCTACATTTTTGGGCAGAAAAAAATAATGCAGCCTTTACTAAGGGTTTCCTCAATGTGCAGTGCCTTCTGTTGAATCATGGTGAGAGGGAAAGCAAATGGGATGCAGCATATCATTTAAGTCTTTCACAGTTGAAGATAAATGCACAGAGTCTGGCTCGTGGAGAAGCACGTCAAAGACTGTAAAGCCAGCACTCTCACTTGATGCTTTTGGTCCCCCTGTTCCTGATGTCCCTGGAAAGTGGGCAAAGGTTTGCCTCTAAATCTCTTATAGGAGGCTGCTAGACACTGAACTTGCCATGGTACAGTACAACCAGCTATTTAATAGGGAAAGAATGAAAGTGAAAAGCCTTGACTACCATGCAAGAATGGTGGTTGAAGTGTTTTCTTACTGCTTTAAGTTTTAAAGAAAAAAAAAAAGAGAGAGAGGGAGAAGGAGCAAGCAAACCGTCTGCTGCGCTTGCCTGCACGGGAAGGAGCGGCTGAGAAAATTCTGTTATTAATGTTTGGAAGTGGAGAAAGTGAGTTGGCCAATTTGATTAGACTAAAGAGAGTAAAGTTTATCCACAGATCATCTGCATGCATGTGAATATATGGAGGTGGATTGTTTCTTGCCAGAGACTTGTATAAAATTGAAAAAAATGGAGCAGTTCTGTAGCAGGATATGACTAGACTGTAAACTTTGGCAGGACTCTAACATCTTAATGCTTCTTGAGACTCTGGCAGTACTTTTGTAAAACTGTGATTCTGGAATTGGAATACATGAGAATTTTTTTCTGTATTCTCCTTCATGCTAATTAAGTGAAACAGTAGGTTTTACATTTGTCCAGAAAGAGGTCAAAGCAAGCAAAAAAAATCTGAGAACAGAGGAACAAGGATAAGTAATGAGCCAATTTTTCAAACTGGCAATGACATACCAAGAGTTTGGAAAAAATACACTTGCAAGCTTCCTTTATTATTATAACCTCTTGAACAGAATAATCCAGTCCAAATAGCTATAAACGCTTTCCAATAGAGGAATTTATGACCTAGTTTCTGACTAAAGTGCTCACAGTATCACAGTGTGTGGAAAGAACTTAAATGAAGATGCTGGTGGCAGTGCCTCTGGAACACCATATTAGAAACTTGGTGTATTTAGGCATTCCCACCCTTGGCAAATACTTGCTAAGTGGAATCAAGTGGAGTCAACTTCAGACAATTTTGCAGGAGACTTAGTCATTTAAATGCCTGGGTGGGAAGCAGACTTTTCATAAGATGTCTGCTGTGCGGGTGTGTGGTTTTTTTTTTTTTTTCAGTGAAATACTGTTTGGAAAAATAATTGTTTTAGCAGTTATTTCAACAGGAACTCAGCAATTATAGATAGCCTTTCTAGATCCTGTGCTGCTCTAAAGCAATGAAGGAAAAAGGTGCATTTAATATCTGTTGACAGCTATAAATCTGTTTTGAGGAGGGATGGGGAAAACTTTGATTAGGCTTTTCTGTGACTAACCTGGTGGTTCTCCCTTCAAGCCATGTCTCCTGATTGGGAGGAGGTCTTACTGGCAGCCAGCTGGAGGTAGAGCAAGAGATGA